CCTTCCTTTTCTTCCTCTTTTTCTTCTTTCCCCTCCTTTCTTCTTCTTCTTCTTCTTCTTCTTCGTCTTCAATACCCAAAAAGCAAGTTCAGCACAATTAGATTGTTTTATAAATGTAAAGTTTCTTCGACAGATATAAAGAGAATTCTTTACTATATTTTTATATTTTTTCTTAAACAAAGTTGTGCATAAAAATCTGAAGTTAGGAAGAGTTACTGAGTTTAAAGCCATACCCCAGAGTAGAGTGTAAATCTTACCTTGAAATATACTAAGCATTGTTTTTTTGTGTTTTTAATTATTGTTATGTTTGAGATGATGACAATGATGATTTTGGTTATTTACACCTTTTGAGCTTTTATATTAACAATCTCTTCTGTGCACAACAAAGTAATTTTTTATAGCCATTAATCTAGTGTCACTTTAAAGCCACAAAGTCTGGGCTATGATAGGATATTGCCATATTAGTGAATATGATCAGTGAATCAGATGGATTCTTTTAGAGAGGCTCTGTTCAGTATTAAGGATGTATTACCTGTGATTTAGATAGATATTTATATTTAGACAATTCAGTTAGCCAACTGGATCTGATTTTTATTCTACATTTTTTTTCTTACACAATTATGTTGGTATCAGACATACTTGAAACCAAGGCTTATGGTATGTGTATCCCAAATTTATGTAGTTCAATACAAGAATGTGAATATACCACCATGACTGGAATTTAAAAGTAAACAGCATTAAAAAATAAAAAATATGAAATGCCTTCCCTGTTGCTTAAAGCATGTACAGAAACACCACATGGTTTTATTAAGTTGTTAGTCTATTTACAACATTTTTATATGCATAGTTGTGTAAAATTCTTAGTTTTATTTTGAAAAGTTGTCCTAACTCCATTCCGTCCATGAAAGCCAAAAAGTATTTGCTGCTAAATCCAGAATACTTGAATTATGAAAGACACGACTCAAGTAATTCTTGTTAGAAAGGAATTAAGGAGCACATCCATTTGTCTGCACAAAAAGAGAACAAAGTATTTGTATGGAGGAACTAGAATGAAAAAGCATAGATGTGAAGAAGACATTATTCTAAGAGGAGGCTTAATAGTTGACTGTCAAAAGCTGTATATAAATAGCAGTTGTCATGTTCAGAGAGATTATTTTTAATTTTAGTGTAACTGGCACAAATATCATGTATAGAGTTACTTGACTATTGATTAACCCCTAAAGACTGTTGGAGCTAAATCTGGCTTGCCATAATACTTACCATTTAGTATGCAGAGGCTAGATCTAGTTAAGGCCACAAAAAACTGGTGGGATATCAGAGAGGCTTGCTATTGATCCTCCTGAATTGTCTTGTTTTTATTTTCATGTCTCTGTTGGTGTTTGGTGAGATTGCTCTTTCCAGTAACTCCAGTACCCTCGTCTCCCCTTTCTCCTGCCTCCTCTTTTGCCATCATTTTCTATGTTTAGCTATATCTAATCTGAAATTTGTAGCTCTTCTACTCAGCAACTATTTGATACAATATCATGAGAGGAACTTTTCCATGTGTGTAATCGTCGCCCCAGACTCCAAAGGCCAAATAAACCCTTCCTTTCTGATCTCGGCCCTTCTCCCTTTTTCTTGCCTTAACACATCAACATCAGCACAAGCTCTGATGCTTAGCACCCATAAGATTTTCTGGTATAAAATCAATCTCTCCAAACTCCATAAACCAAATTTACTATTCAGGATTTCTGAAAATTTGGCCATCACTGCAGGCGGGAGGCAAGATTGGCTTAGGTATTGTGGTCATTAGGGGTTAAGCGGACAAGAGACATAACAAATTTCATAGTATTGTTATTTGTCAGGAATCTTCATATGCAGAAGAAGAAAGAGAATTGAAAATAACTTGTAAGTAGGTCACCTCGGGTCAGGCATTAGGCAGGTGCTAATTTTACAGTGCATGACCTTGGATTATACCATTTTTTTTTATGCCCTAATCATTTTGCATTTTTTCCTGACCAGTTTCTTGTTCTGGCTATAACTTCATTTGCTCTTTTAAGCTGTATTATGCACAGCCCTTCCATATACAAAGACAGCATATTACTTGTTGTTTAGATCTATTTATGTTTACTCCATTTGTAGTATGAATTTTTTCTTTCATATGTCGACCTATGTTATGGAAAGCTTTCTGTCTTTTAATTTTCTGTGAAAGACAGACTCTGTTGTAGATATCTGGTTTAATTCACTAAAGCACTCCTTAGCTGTCTTGTCAGCACAATTTCCATCTTATTTTATTGCAAATATATATATAATAAGTACTGACTGATTGATAGTTACAGTTGACATGACAGGCAAAAAGAATTGTCATGGACTGCAGTGCTATTTATGAAATGTAACCTATGAAAATCTTTACTGATATACTTCATTAAACTTTATTCTTATATTGTTACAGAAATGACAGTTTAAACGCCTAAACTGATCTGAAAATGGAATATTTTCAGAATGATACTCATTAGCATATAGGAAACTTTTCCTTACAGCAGAAAGATTCCTTTGGATCAAACAGTATATTCCGTCAAATAGGATTACTTATGCTTTCTTTTGTATATAAGGGCACAAAGCTTTAAACATAATTCACTGAATGGATTACCATCTTGATTTAGCTTTTTAAAATATCCTATATTAGGTATTTTAGATTTAATCTTTACTGCTGCTAAGATTACTCTCATTTACACTGTGTAGATAATTATGACAGTCTACCTGTGTTTTATGTTTAAGAGGCTAGTCTTCAGAAGGCTTTAAAAATAATATCTAAGCTAACTTCAGTCACCCTTTGTACTCCAGACTGCTTTAATTGGTGAAGTGATGTACTGTACTGTGATACTGTGCGAAGTTCCTATTGTTTGTGCTGTGGAGAAGCCATCAGGAGTGTGGGCAATTCTAGACCTGACCCTGAAGCGGCCCCATGGTTCATCAGCTGGAATACTGTTGCACAATGCGGATGAAGGAGTCCAGGTGGGGAGACTGAAATAATTTAGTACTGAGACATTATTCTGCTTATAGGCATGCTTTTCATATGAAGCTATCCTTATGAATATCTACACTTGATTAGGGAAAACCATTTGAGAAGCATTCTAAGTTTTGATTATTCTTATAACAGAGGAAAGGATATTAAGATATGGTTTGTCATTTCCAGATGGTTGAATCAGTCACCCAGTGTTCTCCTGCTCATGCTGCAGGACTCAAGAAGAATGACATCCTACTGGCTGTCAATGGAACTTATCTGCACTCTGGCCATCAGGCTGCAAAACTTTTCACCACAAACAACATTAATGGTGATAGCAATAGTATTCTCTTGAGGGTGAAGAGACTTATTCTTCCAGAATCTAAAAAGGTAAGCTAGATGGCCCTTGTTTGTCTTACCCAGATTACAGAGGTGTAGAATTATGACAGGATGTAAGGACTCTAATAGTATAATTCCAATTTGAAGTTTTTTTTCAATATTTCTAATTTTATCCAGAAACATTATTTTTTGTGTGTGTGCAAAAGAGATTTGTGAAAAGATTATTGAGTATTGGTAGGAACTAATACAAAAGATCCCCATGGATAAAGGAACATGAAAAGAATACTTCTAACACATGTCTCTGTGTCATAAAAAATGACTTAAGGAACTCTACTAATCTGCACTGGGCCAGTCTGGTAGGGTACAGCCCTTTTCCTCCCTGTAATGCAAACCATACCTCAGTGAGGTGGTGTAGATTGGAGAAGTCCTATGTCCAACAACGGATTCTAGAAAGCTGAAAGATAGGTAGAATACAAAACAGGAAAAGAGTTTTGGATAGTCCCTAAGTCATATTTCATTAACAATATATCAGGTAATCTGTATTTGATAATAGAAAAGGCTGGTGTGTACAATTATTGTAGATTCATAACTCAGACTTTGATTTTGTAACTGTTCATATTGCCAACCTGTGTGTTGCTACCTCAAACTTTGTGAATTTTCTAATGAAAGAGGGGTAACACATAACCATCTTCAGTGAGCAAGCTCGTTTTTTCCCTTACTGTATTGAGGGCAATCGCATCTTGGGAATACAAGTAGGTATTATGTAACTTTGATAGATACTAACATGATTCATTTAACTAATGCTCATGCCTGATGATCAATTATTTTCCCCTTGTTGATCTACAGCTCACCATCATTCATGAGTCTAATTTATCACACAAGGCAGCAAACATCCACAAATACTCCTATCCCTCTAGACCTATCTTCAAACTGCATGCAAAAAACAATTAGGAGGGAATGATTGAATACCAAATCTTCATATGTTTCCCAGTGATTGTCCAAGTTAGAGTTCACAGGTTCCCTCCTCAGAACAATCCGCCTCAGAAAAAGAGTTCATATGAAGTTGAAATTGAAGACTGCTACAACATTCTTCAAGATAAAGGGGTACTGCAGTATTTTAAGTGGACAGTTCAAGAGCCAAAAATGGCTTAAGTTTTTTGTCAGGGAGATGACTGAGATGGTGAGAGAAATCCAAAACTGACTTGTAGCAAGACCAGCATGAAGGATGACTTTAATTTGAGTATGTGCACAAGTTAATATCAGTTTATGTGTTTGGTCAGACCACAGGACCGAGGCAGCTGCACCCAACCTACCAAACAGCAAAAAGAAACCCAACATGTGAGAGTGTATTTAAAACAGATAGGAACAACAGTGGGGATGCATCACCAATTCCAGCCTGTATGCCATTAACAGTGGTTTATGTAATGGAAAGGCTCTTCTGATATTTCAATTTACACTCAATAGTGTATGGGGAAGAAGCTGCTTTGATACAAATTAAAGTCATTGCCTTCCCAAGAGAAACTTAAAATTTACACAAGATATTTAGTGAACCATGGGCACAAACTATTTGTTTTGCATATTGTTTACACAGAATTCCTTAAAAATATAAAATAGAATAAAAAAAATATCAGTGATCAAAAGGTTTTTAAATACTTTTTAACTGCGTAACTGATTTTATAATTTAGACCAACTTTTTCTGAGTAGTGGAAGTTCTACTTCCTAAGGACTTGATGGTTGAAAATGCACTATTTCACATAGGAAGTTTAACCCATTGCTGCTGGATGAATGTCCTGTCAGCCTGTTTTCTTTTGTGTATTTTGTTTACACATAAATAGCTCCACAAGTACTCAGCCACCAAGGAGCCAGTTCATAAACTTGCATGACCCTACCTGATTTCCCGTTTCCTTGCATTCTCAGGAAGAATTATTTTTTTCTAGTACTATGAATTTTGATTTTGTTGTAGGTAGTATTACTATTATGGTTGCTATAACATTATCAGTAATACTAATGAATAATAAACACAGTGGATATGGCATGTTTTTTTTTGCTGTCTCAGCATCTTTTGATTAAACAAAAATAAAACGCTTCTTCATTTAGTTTCAAATTCTTACTGATTTGTCTTGACACATCTCCAAGGATAACTCATTTACTTTATGAAGAGAGAAGAAAATACATATGCATATATATATATTGCTAGAATTTATATTATTTAGGCAATAATGAGAGCAGAATGAATGTATTTACTGTTGAACTATGTTATTCAGCCAGTAAGCATTTATGCGTGTGAAACAAAAAAAAATGTTCCTGTATTTTTTGTAGATATTCTAATTTCATGACAAAAACTGTATGAAGTAAAAACTTTTAAGAAAAATATTTCTTTAAAAGATCATATAATTAGAATATGACTTTATAGACTCTCAATAGCTCAAAAATAGTACCAAAACTATTTGCACAGTATATATAGTAACTGTATCATTAAGGATTGAATGTTAAATCATTACATTTTGATATACTGGGCTTTAAAGATATGTAAGTTGAGAGGTGCACATTAGAAGGCACCTAATGCCTTTCTACTATTTTCCAACTTTTTTATATGATTGATGCTTTTATCATTTTCTTTTGCAAGTATTACAAAATAAAAGAAGTACAATAACATGCAACAGCTCCATCATTATAGCCCATATGCTCTCAGATTTTACTGACTGTTTTGTTGTTGCTTCTTGCTGTTGCATTTTTTTGCTGCTGTTGCTTTAATGAAGGCCATTCCTCCAAATATGATGTCTGTCATATGAAAGTATATGAGCTGCTGAGATAGGTCTACTACTGGTTTCTACATAGTAGCAGGTGTGAGCATTAGCAGATTAATGAGAATATCAGTAATGCAAACAATATGACATGGTAAATGATGAAGTGAGGTGTCTTCTTACTTTTGAAAATAGAAATTAAATATGTTTTTGATACAGAATTCATCACATTTACATTTTCGACTATGAGCAATTCTCACAGGATTTAAATTTTTCTGTTGTTTTTTCAAGTATCCAATCTTTGAAATAATTTTATGTGACGTAACACGGAACTCATAGTTAGGCATCAAGGATATACCAGTATCCCAGTTACAAAGAAAAAGGAAATAGATTGTTGATTATATATCTTTTTCATTTATATCCACGCCATCACAATGTTTTAAAAGATATGCATGCTAGTTCTTGAGTGATCTTCATTATATGATAACTGACATACTTAATGAACTAAACATTGTTAATCATATTCAGTGTAGCTGACTAACACTTTGTAATTTGCTTTAATTACATAAAATAAAATGTCTGTGTTACTAACAACCTACTAACTCCTCCAGATGGTAGCTGAACAAAGAGCCGTTGGTTCAGATGGTGCTACAACAGTTGTCGGGGAGGATACCACAGGTAGACCTCAAGTAACCTCCTGTGGCCAGCCTGTTGTCTCACCTTGCACTGCAAGCAGTAGCTATAGTGGCGACAAGTCCTCTAGTGCCTGGGTAGAATCCTCAAGTAGTGGTACCTCTGGTTGTGGTGGAAGTGGTGATGGTACTGCTCGTGGTGGGGCGGGATTGTCACGTAGCTGTGGTGTAGGTAGTATTAGTCGTGGTGGTGGTGTTGGTAGAGCCGGAGGAGGTGGCAATGAGACCAGTAGTGCCTCCTCGGGAACCAGTGGTGGTTATTATGTGAACGTTGGTAGCTGTAGTCGTGGTGTTGGTGGGAGCTATAGGGGTGTGGACTACCCCAGTGCCTCCTCCTGTGTTGGCAGTGGTGGTGTGGGGATGTACGTGGGGAGTAGCAGTGGTGGTACAGAAGATGAGGGTGTGCTTGGGGGTTCACGTGCTGTTAGCCCCTCTCACTTGCTTGCTGGGTTAATGGGATCCCTCAACGGAAGCCGGCCTGCTAAGCACCGCTCTCTGCCAGGCTCACCTGTCCTGCAACGCACCAGTAGGAACCGTGTTAACTCAACACGTGATGGTAAACACGCACCCCCTCCCTGTTCTGCATACCTAAAGCAGTTTTTGTTATCCATTTTTCTTTTGGTATGTTGGCATAAGTTTTGTTTGTAAATGTTGTGACAGTGCTTTTTGGTCGTAGCCTATTTTCTGTTTGTATGGCTTTTAACCCTTTCTTCATTCAGGATAGTTAATGTCTTGTCATAGTTTTAAATACTGTAAGTTGCTTTTCTTTCTCTTTTTTTGTAGAATCATATATGCACATTTCTTGCTATATATATATTTATTGAATTTATTGACTGGTTGAGTCTGTTCCAGGTGAAATTAGTGGAAGTGGAAGATCTACACCAGACTCAAGCCACAACAGTAGTCCTGAGCTAAAGAGAAAGCTCTTAGACCTGCATACTCTCACAGTAGATTCAAAACCTACTGTGCCTGGTCAGGATAAGTCCCCTGTAGCAGCCTCAGTCAACAAGACTATTCCTCGTCCTGTGATCGGGGTTGGGCCAGATAAATCTCCAGGCCCAGGAGCCGGAAGCCAGAGTTTTGGCACATCTCAGTCAGGGGTTGAAAAGCCTCCCTCTAATCAGAGTAGTAAGGCTGGAACCCCAACATCACCAGACTCCCTAATGGGGCTTTCCAACCTGGAAAAACGTGGTGGAAGAAGATACATGGGGAAGAACAAGACTCATCTTAAAAGTATTCAAACACCATTTGTGGATGGAAGTAGAGTAAGTACGTTTATGTTCTGTATCAGTGTGATATAAATGCTGGCCCGTATTTTATTCTGCAACTCTAACTCTCAGGGAATGGATATGGAATGATAAAAAGTTACTAAGATAACAAAGTTATGCAAGTTGCTAATAGGTAAATAAGTAAATAATATTATTTCTGCATATATCTATAGTATTTAAAAAGTATGTATTTTTTGTCTGTACATGGAGGTATATATATATAAATAAATATATATATATTATATATATATATATATATATATATTATATATATATATATATATATATATATATATAATATATATATGTATGTATATATTTATATGTATATTTATCTATTTATTTATTTACATTATATATATGTGTGTGTGTGTGTGTGTGTGTGTGTGTGTGTGTGTGCATGTGTGTGTATGTGTCTGTGTGTTACCAGCTGTGTTGAAGAAGTTAGTCTTGTTCTTTATGTATAGGGGATTTAGATTTGGAATTGGATATCACCCTTTAGTTGAGAGGTACTGATAACTGTTTATGAATTTCAGGAGCCAATGTTTGACAGTGACTTTGAATTTTGGTTAGAGGAAGAAAACAAATATCTGAGCATAGCCATCTGGAGTAGAAACATTACTTCTGTAAAGCCAGATGAGGACTTTGGTTTCAAGGATAGTAAAGACAAATCTAAGACAAAGGAGAATGAAAAGGACAGAAGAAAACAAAAGGAGAGTGAGAAAGCCAAAGCCAGAGAAGAGGTTCTAGCAGGGCTCACAGAGGACACCCTGATGGGCTATGCAAACCTACCCCTGATCTCCCTCATACCAGAAACAACTCTCAACACCCAAGGCCATGTCACAAAGATCCTGACCTTGAACCCACCGCACCCAAAATGCCCGGAAATGATCTCCGACTCTCTGCTTACTCACAAAGGCTTTGACATGAAACTCTGTTATGGGGATGTCATGCTTTCATTAACTTACCAGCCACAAGACAGGTAGGGGGACTCTTCCTTATCTGAGAAATTATGCACTGATATTTCTGCTGTATTAGACTGCACAGATAATTATGTTCTGAACTAGTTGGATTGAAAGAGCTAGAAGTAGAGAATACTTTATTGCATTTTTCATTTACAAATCTATAATATGTATCATATAGATCAGTTGAATCTTGCTTGGTTAGTTTAAAAGCCTTTGATTTACAAGGACTCTAAGTTTTTATGTAAATGAAGATGTTTGTCATTAATCACGAGATGAGTCACTGAAAAATTGTATATGAACAGAGGAATGTATACTTAACATTTGTGCAACCTTTTAACAAAACAGTCTCTACTGCAGGTGTGAAACTCTTGGACGTGGTATAATTGACAAGAATTATGCTAGCAGTGCGGGATCAATTGAGGATGATGGAAGCTCAGAGATGGATCATTTGAGGACACATTCAGCCCACTTGGATTGGCTATAAATATTTACGATGATATTAATATACTTTACAGAAGAAAGTGATATATTGTCCTGATATTCATAGTTTTGATACATGTGGTGTTATATTCCTGTGATGTTGACTGCAGTGGAAGAGTGCCGGCTGCGCACCGTTGCGAATTCCCAAAGAAACTTGTTATATTTTCAGATCTGGTTGAAGGATGCCTACCAATGTGGTGAATGTGGAATCATTTGCCACAAAAAGTGTATGGTGCGATGCGAACAGGAGACCGTGTGTGCATCTGCTGGTCTGCGCTACCGTGATCCCTCCAGAAATGAACCCCAGGATGCTAGAGATGTTAAGGAGATGCCTGAGATTGTCACAACAGCTGCTGTGGGTTCAGCAGATAATGGAAGCCCAGGGAATACTCCACCTGTGTCTCCACATGTAAGGAATGCTTATAGTCATGTGTTGTTGCTTTATTTATGTGGAATATTTATATATATATATTATTACAGTTTATTTGAGAATTAGATGTTCTCTCTCACTCTTATATGTATAGCATGTTGGTGTCTTATAAATTATATGACATGGGTCTTATAACTTCTGTACTTAATCTATCTTCCAGAGAATGTACTTTCTAGCTGGATTTTTATACTAATACCTTTACTGTATTTTTCCATTATTTACTCTGAATGATATACTTGTGTTTTGTGTCAAAAGGAAATGAGTCCATCAAAATGTAAAGTACAAATTTGCTTTATTTTCAGTTTTTTGTTTTTTAAGTTTCTATAGATAGTATTTAATCATTAATCAAAGATTTAAGACAAAAACATGAAGATATATTCTTATATCTTTTTTCACTTTTTTTTTTTTTTGGTGTGGAAGGGATCTTGCCATGATCAACAGATGTTTAAAACTTGTGTGATTTTAACTCTCCTGTTCCTACTTCACGTCATGTTGCACACTTTCCCCAAACTGCCTCGCACCAGAAGCGCGTCCTTGGCTCGCGACTGACCCACAGGCTGCACACCCTTTTGATTCACCGACACGAGAACACAACTCGATCCCAGGAGCTTGACGTTCCTAAAGTCTGGGATGCACAGGTTCTGCTCTTTAACATTGGACGTTGATTCTATGCAGTGCAAATTCCCTTCTTTTTTCCTGTTTTTCCCCTAAAGATTTGAAATCTTTACATTGTAGGTATATGCTGAGACCTTAGAGATAGACATTGCAATATCTTGCTTATGGAAAATTTGCAAAAACACTAGATTGTTTCTTGCAAATGTAGGAGCATCAGAATTACATAGAACATAATCCCAGTTCCTTTCCTGGGTTGGCAACAATGTGCATCTTACTTTATTCAGTGTTAAATGTCTTGTGTGTGTTTGAGTTTGTGATTCTGAGAAAATGTGTTGGTGCTTGACCTCCTTTACCACTTTATGGCCTATTATTGTACCGCATTTAGGTGCTGCATAGGTTCTATAACATAGACGATACAATAATCATAGTGTGAATAATTCTTATGTTTATCAAATCTTTTTATCTGCTAGTCTCATGATTTTCCTAGCAGCTCATGAAGCAGCTCAGAAAATCAAGTGAATGCAGTAAGTACCCATATTGCAGACAGATGTACACGCACACATACACACGTATCAACTTGCACACAGACCTGGACACATTGGCATACAAACATTCGTGAATATTCACATAAACACTAGTATAAGCAGCACGTACAAAAAGAACAGGTGTATACAAAAATACACACAAACATACAGACACACACGCACATGCGCACACATACACACCTGCACATACACTCATACGCACGCACACACACACACACACACACACACACACACACACACACACACACACACACACACACACACACACACACACACACACACACACACACACACACACACACACACACACACACACACACACACACACACACACACACACACACACACACACACACACAGAGTCAGTAGGCTTTAGTGGTATAAAAAAAAGAGCCATTTATAGAAAATGTCAACCATTACACCATCAGTCATTAGATATGATCTCTTTCTAAACATAACAGGGTTCTAGATCAACAGTAAGTTTACAGTAAAGATATAAAATGTGTCAGTCGATGAAGATTATAGATGTGTGTGAGTGCGAGAGAGAGAGAGAGAGATGATTAATGAAATTTGTATGAAAATGCAAACATGATACGCATATATTTTTTTACATGCATGGGCAGAAAAGTACAATTGACAGGTATCTCCAGCTGCAGTAGAATCCCAATCAGTGACTGGGTAAAGTCCAAAATGATCATGTGATATATCAGTAGTATAGATATAAGTGACAGCTATAAAATTGAACTAGAAGTTATAAAGTATAGTTGAAAGTTGTAAGGAAAAGATTCTTACTATCATTGCATAGGAGCATGTGTCTTTTGGCCTCTGAGGACTTCTGAGCATTGACTGCATACAAGCTTTAACCTCAAGAGCGTGATTATGTTCCCCATAATCTTCAGGACACTATAACCAAAATGCTGAATTATAGTTTAGTATTATGGTTTTATGGGTACATATCACAAACTGTTGCACACCCAGCGCTTCAAAGGATAAGCTTCTCCTTGCTGGTTTTCAGTGACCAACAACAAAAGTGGGTCCCTAGAAGCTATGCAAGACTACTGTGATGCCTAACTTTCTCACCATCTCTGTCTAGACTGCAGTAAGCTGTAAACATCTACTTTGATGCCTATATATATTTTTTTTATCTTCTAGCTATTTATTTTCTCATACTAGAATATCACTGATTATAAGAAAAAAAAATAAAAGGAAAACTACTATGTATGAAGCCTGTAGTAGGGAACTTTAACCCAGTAATGCTGGATAACAAATGTGGCAAGTGGACATGATTGTGGGTTTATTGGTGTGCAGTTTCTCTTGTTTGCACCCAGCTCATTTGCTAGTCTGTGGGCAACATTAGGCACCTAAAAGCTTGTATTTTGATACAATTTTTAATGATAGAAAATTTTTGAAGATTTGCCTTCATTTTAGGTGCTACTGCC